CAAGAGCACTTCGGTCGGGGACACAATACCGCCTGGTGATTCCAGGCCCCCAAGAGGCAAAGTTTGCTGCGACCAGGGCCAGATCCTTCTCAGTGGCAGCCCCTACCTGGTGGAATAAGCTCCTGGAGGAGATCAGGGCCCTCCGGGACCTTATGCAGTTCCGCAGGGTCTGCAAGACGGAGCTCTTCCGCCAGGCTTTCATATAGGGGCCGCCACCACCACCACTACCAATGGTGGGGATAACAACGGGATCAGGGGCCGCCCTCGAAAGATCTGCTATAAATGTGCATGGCACTGACACTGCTGGATCGGCTTTAGACTATCTACAGGACAAGATCACCCCCAGGGAAATGATTGATACCACCATGAGACCTAAGGAAATGATTGAGATCATCATGAAACTATCCAAAGACCATCTCGTTTACATGAAGCACTTTATTATTGTTATTGTTATTGCTATTATTTATGGTTTTATGTATGGGCTTATGCCCCTTGCAAGCCATCCTGAGCCCGCTTGCGGGGAGGGCAGGGTAAAAATGTCAAAATAAATAATAAATAAACCACGTATGCCACCCTGAGCATCTTGGAGGAAGGGCAGGATAAAAATAAAATAAAAAACAACCCAACAGCTAGAATGGTTGATGGTATGTTTATATCTTAGATGGGCCTTTAGACAGAGAAATCCTAATGCAATATTAAAATGAGCAATAAGGCTGTTTCATTTATTGTCTCTGAAAAGTCTCCATTTGCTAACTTTTTCCAAATCTATGAAAGGCTTTGTTGTATATGATAACCAGGACCTTGCTTTGAACCCAGTAACTGATAGACAGCCAATGGAGTGACTGCAGAATGGGTGCAATATGCATATTCCACCTAGCTCCTGACAGTATCTGAGCTGCAGCATTCTGTACGATCTGGAGTTTCCTGACTGACTAAATGAATGTTATTTCTGTTTGGGGCACTATTCTTGAAGCTAGCCCATTTTCTTACCAGATTCCACAAAGGTTTCGTTTTATGCCCTCAGAGAAAGAGTAAGACCTACATTTTAATTTATATTTCTCGCATTTCTGTACTAGCTCATGAAGACAGCAAACAAACCTGAAGTCTGGATCTGTGCCTGGAAATAAGAATCAATCGTAAGGAACCACATTTATCAGAAATAAATGTTAACAACAGACATTTAAATGTAGAATCATGTTACATGAAGTGCAAAGTGGTCTACATTCTAGCTACTTGTTTACCACCCTAAGACGGGATCAGATAAGAATCTTAGGCCACGTTTTTGGATGACTGGTGCTCATTACATACGCTAGCCAATACCACCACTGCAAAGGCCTAGTCAAAGTTTTCAATAACCCTATGTGAATTACTGAGCTATAGCCCTAGAGCTCATCAACCTGAGCTGTAGCCCTAGAGCTCATCAAGCCCTTTGCACCTCTGAAAATAGCAGAACTCAAATGACTGCTAAACTAAGCACTCTATTGAACTGAAACCGCCAGGCCTTCCAAGAAGGAGCGCAATCACAACTGAAATGCTGTGGGGATATGAATTCTTCTGGGTCTCAGCAGATAGTAGATTCTGAGGAACAGAAAAGGGATATCAGAGAACTGGTGACAGGAACATGTCAGAATAATAATAATACAGGCTTTCTGAGGTGGGGGGAAGAATCAAGCCTCAAAACTCTGAATCTGCTTCAGGATATCTGATCACTTCGAGGAGTGATTAAGGCTGATCAAAATTTCACTGCTCTAAACCTCAGTGACAGATCATTCCAGCCAGCCTTCGTTATCAATCAAAGGAAGAATTGAAACATGGAAATCCAAAGCCCTGCATGGGAAATACCCAGAAAGCCTCAACAGAGAAAATGTGGATGCAGTCTCATCTGTGAAGCGGATAAAAGCAAGGTTGACTTCAAACAGAAACTGAAGGCTTTATCACTGCTATTCAGGATTGTAACTGCTAACCAATAACTATTAAAACCCGTGACTGCAGAGTGCAGACAGACAATTTATAGAAGATGTAGAGAGAGAAACCGGATGTGTAAGAGTGGGTTGCCCAATACAGAATTTCTTCTCAGACTCACCTAGACTACAAATACCATTCACCGTCAAATGGGTATTGCAGTACCAACTAATAAGGTCTGAACTTCTCCCTTAGTACAAATATAGTCCTCCCAACCCAGTTTTGGGGAATGATTATTACCACCTGTATTGAGATAAAGCTATCCTTCTATAACTTTATAACGGAAAAAATAGTCATAGCTCTGGCGAACAATGTTTCTAGGTAATCCTGGAAGTGGTATACAACTTCTTGTAGGATGAGGTTGTGCTCTCCCTAAAGATGTGAAATGTAGGTGTTCTTGTGGACCTGGCTTTAATCTTGGATGTGCAGGTACATGCTGTGGACAAGAGCTCTTTTCAGCAGCTTAGGCTGATATATACCAGTGATGACCTCTTCTGGAGAGATCTTACCTAGCCAGTTATATATGCACTAGGGACTTCCAGACTGCACTTTTGTAATGCACTCTTCATGGGCTGTCTTGGAACAGCTCTCCAGAAATTTCAAACAGCTGCTCAGTTGTTAACAGGGGTTAGCTGGCTTGATAACATTATACCTTACTCTGTTATATCTCTAGTGGCTCTCAGTTTATTTCCAGACCTAATTCAAAGTGCTGGTGGTGACCTTTAAAGTTCAAAATGGCTTGGGCCAGGGTATTTCAAAGGCTACTTTCTCCAACATGAACATATTCATATGGTGAGGCCTTGCCCCTTATCTTCAGAAATTTAGCATATGTCTACACAGGACAGGCCTTTTCAGCAGTAGGGCTGATGATATGGAATGCCTTTCCCCATGAGGTACAATTGGAACCACCACCGTTAATTTTAACACCCATAAAGACTGCTTTACTTAGGAAGGTGTTTAATTTGATTAACTAAATCTGATTCTCTTTTTCCTAACACCACCACTATAAGAAATTCTGCTATTTTTCTTTACTATGCTTTGTTGAGTTTTACTTTGCTGATTTTAACAATCAATGCTTTTTACTGCTTTCATATTTTATGTTGTTGTTTATTATTTTTAAGATCATATAATTTTTACATTTATATTATTTTGTAAGCCTCTGGAGCAGTATCTTGTGATCAAAAAGCAAGATATATATTAATTCATTACAAAATTATTAAACAGCTATTATAATTGTCGTTATATTATCTTTCACACATGACACTGAAATAAGCAAGACTAAAAAAAAACTAAATTCCATACTGTAGCCTTGGAAGTAAAGCATGCTTTGAAATTCAAGATAATTCACATAGCCCCCTCCCTTTAAGGTGAGCTATAACAGTTGCAAATAACTTGAAGCAAAACTTGAGACCATATATGTTCTGTCTTCAACAGTGATGGAGGAGTATTCTGCAATTGAATATTTTTCCAGAAGTTTTTTCACTTTCTGGTGGAAATTATTTCTTTTTTTTTTACAAAATTAGTAATATGAGACAAACCGTCTCTCGCCTTGAAAACCCTATGGGATCGCTAAAAGCTGTGACTTGACGGCACTTTCTGCTATCATAACAAATGGACACGATAAAACCAAATTAAGCAGCTTCAAAGTTGTAAAGTTATTTTTTTCAGGAGAATATCTCTAGGAAGTACACGTATCAGTGAATAACATAATGCACAAGTTGTTCATAGACCCACTATGAGGAGAACCAGACTTAGAGAATGTGGCTCAAGCAGTTATGAATCAGGTTTACCTTAACCGATACTGCGATTAACTAGTAGTATAAGTGCTTCTATGGACAATGAAACTAAGGTCCCTCAGAGTAAGTAAAGCTTAGTTAAAACAGATTGGTGGGCAACAGTGATACACCATGCTCTGTGTGTGCTAAGGCTGATGGCTCAGGATCTTTTTATTCTTAATGTTTAAGCCATGAAAAGAAAGTGTATGCTACTGAATTGTGTTTTAAATTATTTACAAAATATTGCAATAAAATAATTTTCAAATAAGGTTCTAAACTTGTTTGAATACATTTAAGTGACATTACTGGCTTTTAAAAAAAATCATAACCAAGTAGTTTCATTCAACTACTTTTGGCTACTGGAAAAAAAACTTTTAATATACTTACACAACATTACAAGCTAAACAAGCACATGTTTTTAGTTTTGTTAGCTAAATATGTCGAGATCAGTATGCTGAAGCAGAACCCAAATTTATTTAGGGCATCAGAATTTGTTTCCAGAAAACCCATTTCACAGAATTCATCCCTATTAAACAAATCACGAACAGCTGCCATTCTTCAGACTTGCCCTATAATCAGAAAGCTCCGGAATAATGATGGATGCTTCTTATAAAGAGAAACTTTGGATACAGGATCCCTGCTTCAGTAAGCACAGCCCACCAAGAAGAAATGAACAACACCAACACACTATAATAGTACTAATTCCTAAAAGTGCCAAAAGCACTTGCAAAAGACAACACAAGCATTTCACCGTGTTCCTGTCAGAACATTAATCCTGCACGTGTAGTCAAAGGCTAGAGAAGATCACAAAATTTGTGACACGTCAGTTTGCTATGAGTGAATTCAAAGTGGAAATGGTACTTTTCTGGTTGCTGGAGCTAGAAAGAAGGTATCTCCAAGTCACATGCTCCTTAGTGATGCAGCACCCATCAACCAATGAGAAGGCCTTAGTGAATACCATATGCTGGATTTTAATGTAAGAAAGCCATTTCTCACCCAAGAAAATGCACAAAAACCACTCTAATCTATATCAGGAACAATAATGATATATAAATTCCCCCACAAGACCCTTGGGTCTCAAATTTTCAACTCAGATCTGTCTTCAGGAAAAGATCTTTTAAGAAAGTGCAGTTTGTACCTCACGCCAAACAGCTGAGCTTGGAAAATATCACCCTCTCTAAAACCAGCCTAGGAAGCTAATGTACAATGGGGAACATGCACAAAATGAAGCAGCCAGTCCAGTGTGATCTTTCCTGTACTTACCTGAACAACAGGGTACTGGTAATCCATACAATATACACCATACATAGCCAAAGGATTCTCCAGCTATATAGCAGACAAAGAACTGGAAACTGCAAGCCTGCGTCTCCCCCTCTTGCAGTCTTGTGCACAGGACTCTGGCAGTGCTGTGAAATACTTGGCTCAGGCCTCTGGGTTTATACTCAGGTTGATATTAGCTCAGCTGAAAATACAGGAACTGCCTGACTAGGTTCAGATCAGCCCCCCTGCTTCCCCAGTGGGATCCAGCACCGCTAAACCGAGGTGTGCAAGGAAGAACCAGAAGCCTCAAAAATTACAATTCCCAAACTGAAAACGGACAACCCTCCTGCAATTCCCAGAAGCAAACAGAACGACAGCCAGGAAGAAGGGAATGCAGCAGTGGACAAAGAAGAGAGGAAGCAAGCAAGCACATAGGAGCCAAAAGGATATATGTTCTGGGCACTAGGTGCGTCAGAGGGAACACTCTCAATCTAGGACAGTAAAAAGCATTCGGGACTGATTCGCCCTCCACCCCCAGACCTTATTTTTTTTCCCCACTGTCCCAAGCAGAGACAGGTGCTGGGATTAGTACAGCAAATCCTTTTGACGATGCAGAGGGAGGGAAAAGAGAGACGCCACATTGATATCTGCAGTGAAGAGGTTTGGTGCTTTAAAAAAAAAACATAACCAAATATATGATCGTATCATTTAACACCTCCCTCTCTGCTTTTAACCCAGACAGAGACAGCTGCTTGAATCAGTACTGAAGTGGGAAAGGGAGGGAGAAAGGAAGAAAGCAATCTGAAGCCACTGAGAGGCCTTGAGCTATGCAGGATGCATGCTCTCAGCTGTTCCAGTCAAACTTGGGAGGATTAATTCTGGCTGTCAGCAAATGGGATAGGAGAGGGCGAGGAAGGGGGCTAGGTTTGGAAAAGCCAGCTGCTCTTCCCATTTTAGAAAACTTCCCTGTACCATTCCAGAAGCACACATTCCTACAAGAGGATGTTGGAGATCTAACAGACAGGGACAGATGCTAAGCTAATCTGATAAAGACCAGCAGGTTCAGAAGTTACTTTTGGAGCCACAGATGCCTTGTATGTTATTTGTAACCTAAGATCAGACCAGTAATTCTTAGAAGGCTGAAAGTGGCCTGAAGGGAATAGCGGGGTACAGACAGTATACCTTTATAAGCAAAATACAGAACTTTTTACTATGGTCTCCAAAAACCACTCTGGGTTTCTATTGTTTGAGTGACCAGGACTCCTAAAATCTCTGAAGCCAAATGGGAGAACTAAATACAATTGCCAGTCATCAGAGGATAAGGTTTTTCAACCCCAGCCTAGCTCTTTGCCCTCCCCATGGCTACCAATGTCAGAATAAGTTATGCAAAAATCAAACATATGCAAGTCTGCTTATTTTACATATTTTATACAGGTTGAATAATTTCGAACTTTTTTTTAAAGCACAGAACACACAGCCTTGATTATGTTACCTACTGTCCATTGATATTACAATGTAAGGTGACTTTTTCTCTTGACCTCATGTTCACCTGTATGTTTCTTCCACAAATTCCACCCCCACTGCTAAACTGATTGTACTTTTGGTTAATTCAGAACCCCCTGCCTGGTCAGAAAAGTTACAGAAACCACAGTATTCTGGTACATGTTTATTTGCTGAAACATTAAGCAACTTTTTTTACCTTATGGAGTTGCTTTCAGGAAGCTTCTCCACTCACAATAGTTCAAAAAAAGTTACATAAAAGCTGCATCCTTCATACGATACCACCACACATAAGAATGTAAGAGAAGCCATGTTGGATCAGGCCAATGGCCTATATCCAGTCCAACAGTCTGTGTCACACAATGGCCAAAACCCAGGTGCCATCAGAAAGTCCACCAGTGGGGCCACATAAAGAACAGCTCATGCTAATAATGTAAGTCAGTTATCATACAAATACTTCCTGACTTAGCTTACATTTTCATAAATATAACAAACATTAACTTTTTTAATTTATTTATTGGATTTTTTCATATTGAGCAAAGAAAAAACATTTTCTCTTGATGTATTTACATGTTAACAGAAATTCTCCACCATATAACAAAGTTCGCTCTTTAGCACTCAAAAAAGAAGGATAAGCCTTATTCATTGACTAAACCAAAACTTTGACTCTTTTAACCAGTTATAAAACCTTGACCAATACTTTTCATAATTTTCCAAGAACAAACATTAACTTTTGAAGTAAACAAAAAATATATTTCACTCTTTGACTCTTACATAACATATTTAGCTATTCTATCAGCTCTCTAAAGCAATCAGAAGAGTTCAGAATCCACAGTACTGACAAACAGGAAAACTGTAAGAAGGGGGTGGTGGAAATCCCACTCCAACCCCCAAAGTCATCTCCTCCATGATTTTCTCTCTGGAGCTTGAACAGGCTCAGTTCTCCCCCCCCCCCCCCAGGTGCTCTGGATGCTCTGTCTCTCCTGCGGCATTTTCAGATCCCCTTTTGTTTTGGAGAAGTTGTTTTTTTCAGCTTACTTTTCAAAGCTACATTTTCCTGAACACTTGGGGAGTCCCCCAAATATTCAGGGCCCCCTGGTTTGTACGTTAGTGGCCCCACTGTGCTGTTTTTTGTCATCCTACTGGGGGGCCAGACAGATATAGTGTCAGAATATATGTCCTAATCTGATCTATCTGGGAACATATGGTAAATCTAATTCATAATCACATGCATTAGGAGGAAGTTTATGGTTTTGAAATAACATAGTTATTTCTTACATAGGAAGAATTTCCAGATAATTTGAGGCCATGGTAAGAAAACAGAACTTGGGGGGGGGGGGGTTGGGGAAGAGCCATGGACAATACTGATGTTATCAAACCTAAATACGTTTTTTACTCCATTAACAACATAAAATGCATCCTTTATTGCTTAGCATACAAAATTGTACTATTTGGCATATTTATGGGTTATAAAAGTATAAATGCCTTAGTTTGCTGCAAGCAAATTGTGAGTCTGCTCAGTAATCAAGACATACAACTGCAAACTGTATTCTATGCTACCACTGCACATATATATTACTTCCTGCCATCTGAGAAGTAGGGAGAAAAAAAAGTTGAAAATAGAAAACACAAATTTTGTACTAAAGAAACTACAGTTATCTGCAAAGAAGTATTCTCTCATAGTCAGAAAAGGGGTGGCTGCATATTTTAACACTGAATTTAATGCTACAACACTGAAAATACTGAATACTGCAATTTTCAATAATATTGTAGTATACAAGGGGTAGTCCCTGCTCATTCCACTGTGACAGTGTGTACTCCACAGGAGAACATAAAAAGCAGCATTTGGTAGTATTTTTGTCCTATTATACGTATTTTCAATACATTATTTTTTACAACAAATAATTTGTTTAGTGAGTCCTTGACCAATATTGCAGGCTGGATGGTCAGTACCTGACAAATTTAATGGTAGCTGCAGCTATAGGAACTTATGCTTAGGCACTTCACTGTTTCCTTTAAAGACCATTCAAACCCCTCACCTTCTTCTTCTCCTGTGTAACTGTGGCTAAGACTTTGCTTCTGCTTCCAGAAAGACTTCAATCTGGGCAGATGTCTATAAAAACAGATGCCTGGAAGAGTTTCTGTGGTTGTCAGAACCACTGTTGATTAGGGAGAAAGTCACAGAGAAAGGAGTGGTTTTTGCAGCATAGATCAGAGAATTAAATAAATCGCCCTTGCTGTGCTGCCTCCACGTCCCTGTCTTCTAGCGAGTAAACCACTGCTTTAACTGAAAATAGCAGAGAGATGTTCTGGAGATATTATGCGACAGGATGTTCAATTCCCTTCATTGTTTGCACTGCAGCTTCCATGATCATCCTGGAGCTGGTGGCCAATTTTGAGACTCCTAGCTGTCTTTTCTTTTCTTTTCTTTTCTTAAAGCCCCCCGAGGGGGGAATTTTTTATTTGCATTTCTATAAAACTACAACAGAAATTTGGGAGGGGGAGTCTACAATCTATAGGAGAAAGTATAGAAAACTTAACTAAAAACCCAAGAATGGAGGTTTTACAATGCTTAAAACATAGTTGTTACTCTTATACATTTTCTTTCAAACATGAAGAGTGCCCGCCAATCATCGCTTCTGCTGACAAAACCTGCTTATCTGACTGAACAGAGAGTAATTCCAAAGCTACAACACACATAATCACAGCCCTTAAGAAAAATTTAGCATCTCCACGCTTTACTCCCCCCCC